AGCAGACACTCATCAACTGCGCATTTATAGAAATGTCAAAGTTCGCCTGCTTCTTTAGTGAACGTTAGCAACACAATCAACAAGCATCTTTTCCACGCTGATCCAGCGCCAACTAACTTTTCTTGTTATTTGTCCTGTTTGGGAAGAATGACGAAGCCAAAGTCTTTCTTCTAGATCGAACGACTGCACAGACGAAAATGGTCAGAATGAAGCGATGAATTGCTTATATACAGGATTTGTTTACGATAAAATTATGATAATTTTTGGGAAAAAGATAATAACAGCATTGATAACTGTCGGAAAAGCGTAATTTAAGCAGATTCTGTCTTTCTAGAACATTAAAAGGATCTACAGTATAATTACAAAGTTAACAAGTAGCCTGATATGTTTTTATTCTTATTGTTATGTTCCCGTATACGAGAGACTAACATTCAACAGTCATTCAATAATCATTCGCTAGGATGATGACGAAAGTTGCGCAGTGCACTAAGTAAAAAACGAAACAGTACAGTATGACTAATGAAATTTTGCAAAGTGGTTCAGCTACTGTAATTGTTGCTGTTGCAGCAACAAAACTCGTCTGTAGTGTTTGTTAATGTCACGACATCCAACACCAAAACAGTTCCATTAGAGATGTCAAGCAGCAACAAAACACAGTATGCAACAACAAAATCTGACTTACACTGCAACAGCAAAAAAGCACCATCTTTAATTTCACGGCATTAAGTGCGAAAAACTTTTGTGCGAAAAGCTTTGACCACTTACGCTAATGAAGACATTGTAACTCCATAACTTGATTGTGTGATAATAAATCTACAAACAGTGTATCGTCTGCTTATTTACGAGATCCCTCAATGTGGGTCCGCAGCCCCCTTTACCTCGTTTGACTCAGAGTAGTCGGCTGCCGCCGCGCTGAACCGGGACAACCCGCTGCGATTTAATTGAATTCGTCGACATGTACAAGCAAAAAACGAGAAGACGACGGAAATTGAACAATACGTCAGACAAACACCGTTATTGATTAATGTTATGCGTTCTAGCTATTGATTGATTCTGCAGATTTACGCAATGATGAATGGATTAGCAGCGGAAGGTTGAAGTTTTATGAAGAAATGTTTGCAAAATAAAAGTTTATTCACAGAAAACCCGTAGAAAAGAGGCACAGAACAATGGGGATATAAAACATTGGGCTTTTGGAAAAATAACCGGATTCACAGTTTCGGGAACAACAATGCTAAATAGTCGAATAATATTGTTTGGCTTCAGGTAATTCGATCATTGAATATTAATCGTTACAAGACCCAGAGCAAGGTTTTCGACTTTAGTACACAAGCTTCTGCGGCAACAGAAATAATCCAAGTTGTTTCCATTATTCTCAAATCAAATATCTGTTTACTTCTGCTCTAAGGCAACGAATGAGTAGTTGTACACTATTTGGGAAGTTGAAAAGCACGAAATGAGATCATAATGGGTAAAAGATGTAAAAGAGAGTTTTTTTTT